TAAAAATACTGTTGTTTTACCTTATCACATCATAAGCTGCTATATGTATATATATTATACTCTTATATGTAGTATCTAATTGGAACCTTTAGACAATCATATGAATTAGGTAGGGCAGAGGGTATTAACCCCTTTTGTAGATGAGAAAACTGAGGCCAGGATAGATGAAGCAGTTTGCCCCCAGTTACTTGAGACGGTAAATCTTGGACTCTTAAAACCCATATTTTCTGACTCCTTTGTCAAACAGTAAGATCCTTGTACTGAGGCTCCAGAAAGAGTCATGTGGAGTATTTTAATTTAGAATTTATTTTGGACATAATTTCAGTAACTTTTGTTATTTGGCTTCTAACATGCTGAAAATAAAAGGTCAATTTAGGACTACTTGTTCGTGCTAGTCAGACTGCTGGCGGCAGAGAGTGCTGGATGCCAGCGAAGGATGGTTGAGAGAAACTGGAACAAACAAATCAGAAGGCACTGGCCTCTGGTGCCACTTTGTCAGGGCTGTAAAGCCTCTATGTTTAGTGGATAGATCGCAAGTCTTTATTACAACATCATGTAATAACTGCCTTAGAAGTAATTCTTCTGGGGACTCCTGGGTGGCTCAGTCGGCTAAGCATCCAACTTCAGCTCAGGTCGTGATCTTGCAGTTTGTGAGTTCGAGTCCAGTGTCGGCTCTGGGCTGGCAGCTCAGCCTAGACCCTGCTTCCGATTCTGTGTCTCCCTGTCTGCCTCTCCCCCACTCGCACTGCCCCCCCCTCAAAAATAAATAAACATTAGGGGCGCCTGGGGGGGCTCAGTCGGTTAAGCTTCCGACTTCAGCTCAGGTCATGATCTCATGGTTCGTGGGTTCGAGCCCCGCGTCGGACCCTGTGCTGACAGCTCAGAGCCTGGAGCTGCTTCGTGGTCTGTATCTCCCTCTCTCTCTGACCCTCTCCTGCTCACACTCTCACGCTCTCTCTCTTGCTCTCTCTCAGAAATAAATTTAAAAAAAAACATTAAAAAATTCAAAAAGAATTAATTCTTCTGGAGAAATTTACATGAAGAAAGTTGCATTAAAAATATTTGCTGGCTGCATTTGGAAAATTAAGAGATGTTAACTTATTTCTCTATATTCTGTGAGAAATGAAGCATTGCTGTGTTAACCTCTTATACTTGTAAGATATGTACTAATGGTATTTTATACTGGTCTAATCACTGTTTAGTTTGACAGTCTTAGTGTACTCCTCATCAATCAACTTTGATCTGATTTCATTGAAATTCACCACTCTAAATTATTTACAACAGCTTTTGTTTCTGACCCTCTTAAGTATCAGAGTCTCTGTCTTGAGTACAGAAAGAATATCTAGCCCTGACTGTGACAGAGGGCAGAGAGGCAGCACTTGAAGGTACTGATCAGTACAGGGGAGTTAAGAGGTATGCACTTGGGATGATCTTGGAGACCAAAAAGTCTGAAGCGAGCAGACAGGGACCTTCTACAAGGGTAAGAAAAACAAAAAATTGTGATCTCTCAGAGGCAGATTTGATGCCCTCCCCCCCCCCCCCCCCCCCCCCGTGTCCTGAGGAGAAGCTGTGCTCTTTTCCCTGTAGGATTTCAGTTTGGGCTTGCTTCCCTCGCTGTTTTCATTACAGTGCAGTGCACCTACCATGAAGGTAACCTGTTGTAATGAGGTTTAACTGATAATCAAATACTGAAGATGAGTAACCATATTGGGAATTGAGTCATGGTCACAGTGTGATATGTGATCTGTGAATAGGGAGAAATACTGTGTTGATATGTATAGAAGTGCTTTGCTCTCCTGCTGTACACTCAGTGCTTTATAATTCATCGTTCTTTGGGAATTCCTATTAATTTGGCCCCTTTGAGCCATAGTGGTATGGTATATTGAATATTTATGATGCTAATCTCAAAACCTTACAGGATTTCCAAATTAAAGAGCAGAAAATGAAATCTTTTAATGATGAGACTGTCTTACTGAATTACAGTTCTTTGAAAGCTAGTAATTTTAGGTACTTTAACATCAGAAAATTTGGTTTCTGATATACTTGTAACCATCCTGCATAATTTATTTTTATGTATTTCGTATGTCTTTGGCAGTAATTTGAAAAGAACTTAGTTTTAAAAATTTATCTTTCTATTTCACAAGTATAAAGTGGAAAACAATACATCTAAGCTGATAGAAATGGCATATAAATGATGTATACCTGTGTATTAAAAATTAGGAAGCAGTGAACAAATATCTGCAGTGATAATCTCTGGATAATAGGATTGTGGCCAAGTTTCTTCGTACTTTTCTGTACTTTCTAGTTTTTCTAAGATTAAGATCTTTTTATAGGAAAAAGTTAAAAACAAAATATTCTTCTGTTCAGAGAACTGAGTCTATAATCGGACTGTTTGTTCTGAATTATCATGTGTTAAGAATATACTGTCTCCTATGGGTGAATTTACTTCATTTGTGTGCAAGTTAGCTGTTGTGAGGAGACCATCTTTACTGCTGCCCACGAAGCCGTCCCGCCCACTGAGGGCTGCTCGTCTGTCTCATGGGGTCTGTAGTTCAAGGAGACTTTTATTTGTTTATTTATTTTTTTAATGTTTTATTTATTTCTAGGAGAGAGAGAGAGACAGCGTGAGCAGGGGAGGGTCAGAGAGAGAGGGAGTCACAGACTGAAACAGGCTCCAGGCTCTGAGCTGGCAGTCAGCACAGAGCCCGACGCGGGGCTCGAACCCACGAACCGCGAGATCATGACCCAAGCGAAAGTCGGACGCTTAACCGACTAAGCCACCCAGGCGCCCCAAGGAGACTTTTATTTTTAAAACTCCTTCCTTCTTCCTGCATCATTAGCCTCAGAAAGTCCGCAGCTTTCGTTGTTCCTGGCCCTTTCCTTCACTCAGTTTTTCATATCTTGACTTCAGACATGTGCATGTATTCTTAGGAAATGTTTATTTCACATAAAAATAAAGCTTCATTGTGAGCATATATTTCTTTAATTTGAGTTGTGTTATTGAAAATTTGAATGTGGTCATAGTTTAAAAATATGCCATTATGTGGTGAATAGAGGTTGACAGTAATAGTTTGTGGCAATTTGTAAATTACCTGTGGAAAATTAAATAGATAATAATATGTTTGTAATAATGATAAGTTTGTGTTTAATGAGAGCTTCTGGGTTCATAAAGTTCTATTTGCTGAAGTCTGATTTAGAAAGGAGAGAAAAGTCAAGGCTAAAAGATATAAACTATATATCTGTGAAATGTTTCCAGAATCAGGATCCTTGTAATCCGTTGTATTAGATCTCTCTGTGTGCTAACGTTTCGCTTTGAATTTTATTAATTTGAATTTAGTACCTACTTTCCCCCACTAAGGCCTAGGTATATTTAAAAACCTTATTTTAAAATTTTTAAAATGTTCACAATCCCAGTGTTCCTTAAATATATCTGTGAGGTTTTGATTGTTGATACTTTTATTAGTCACCATTTTACAAGAAAGTCCTATTTTAAACTATAATTTTTTTTAACTAAAAAAAAGGGGGGAGATTGTACTGGTTGAGTTTCTAAGATCCCTTTAATGTGTAAAGTGAAGTGAGTATGTGACCAACTGTTTTCTCTATGAGAGGCTCTTCAGTGCTTGGTTTCTCAGACCAGGTTTCTCCTCATGTGCCTGGGGCATGTATACTGCTGTTGACGATTTGCCGAAGGGAAGATGTTTTCATAATCGAAGAGACTTATATTTTGAAGTAAAATTACAGAGAGAGAGAGAGAGAATGTGTGTATGTGTGCATGTGTATGTTTACACTAAAACGGGCATATTAAGAGTACTTTTACCATTGTTGAAGGCACCTTGGTCTATACCCCCAGATTCCTGAAGGAATTTGCATATATTCTCCATTATCAGGCTTTCGTAGTGTGGAAAAGTCTAAGAAACTGCTTAATTGTATGAGCTAGTGTGCCATCCATAAATATTAGTTATACAGCCATGCTTATTTTAGTGGCGATTAAGAGGCAGATATGAATTTATTTCTTTATATAGAGTTTTTAGAGGAAAGTTTCAGACATATACAAAAATAGACATACAGTATATTGGTCATCCATGTAACCATCCTTCATTCAGCTTTAGCAAATATCAACTCATGCCATTAGGAATTTAATTTTATGTGTATTTGCTAAGATTTGCCAAGATAAGCATCTGTAAGGTCAAGGTACTGACATCAGAAGCATTTCTGAACAAAGATGTTGCAGTTGGTGGGTGGGTAAGACAGCGCTCAGCTGTTGTATAAGCTCGCAGAAATAGTATCGTCTTGACTTTAATCTTTCGGTTGTTCAGAGGTAGTGTGCATATTTCTGTTTAACCCCTGGAAACTTGCCAAAATAATTTGTATCCTCTCCATCCTTGGCACCTTGACTCTAAATCTAAATAGTCTATGAATAAAAGCAGCAAGTTGATATTAGGAGCCTGTTGGATAGAGCTGTTAAGAAGGAAAATCTTCATTTTCCATTTAAAAAACTTTTGTGAACTACCTGTTTTAATGTTTTGCATGCTATAAAATCTGTTTCATTTTTCATCTGTACACTTTACAGCCGTGAGAACATAGAGTCAGACAGACCTGGATTCAGATCTCTGCTGACCTTAATTACTTACCTCTCCTAATCTCACTTGTTCAACTGTAAATGGGACTATGGATTGTTGTGTGAAGTAAATGAAATGATACATTCAACATTGATTATCCTGAAATGTCATTTGCACTCCATGATTGAATAGTTGTATGTCCTGAGGTCAAGTCATAGATGGATTTGTAGAACTGAAGTTGAGGAATTACTATTAATAATTACTAGGCTACTTAGAAGAGCTATCTTTACTTTGTCGTGTCTAGTTTTCTGACTGGTAGGTATAAGATCTAAAGATGATGAAAGATCTAAAGATAGAAAGTGTTCTTTGAACAAATGCTGTATTGAAGCAAAACATTGGAAAAATAATGCCTTACAGTTGTTTCTTATCAAATAATTACAGCAAACTCTGGCCTGTTCTATTCTAACTGCACTATTGAGTGAATTCTCAAGTTCAAGTAAAACTAGCAACATTGGACTCAGTATGGAATTCCATGGTAACTGCAAAAGAGTTTTTCAGGTATTGGTATTTTTGTTTTTACGTTTTATTAGATTGCTAACACAATCTTTTCCTAATGGAGTAAGAACACTTATTGTATCTCGTTTATACTTTGAAGATTTGTGTCGCAATTTCATAGTATTTAGTAAAAGGTAAAGGATAGGATAGGAAAAAGATTTCATGAACATAGCTAACAATTTAAGATTTCTTGTTAATTCTAGTCTTTAAACAACACAAAAAGGAAATACTCCTCCAAACATCCTTAGAGTAGTTATTCTGTTCTTCTTCCATTTAGATAGAACTAATTTCAATTGGTAGGACTCTGCTGGCCTTAAAATAGGCCTGGCAGAATGCCAACAAGGGCCATGTATTTAAAATGTTATTGCAGATGGTGTGGGCTCTTTGTCTCATATGTATTGTTTGGCTCTGAAGTAAAGCTATGTGAAGGCATTGGCTGAAATCCGAGGGCTCTTCACCAAAGCAACTGACCCTCCAGCCCCGTAGTGGTTGTTGAAGACTCGACTTCTCTGCAGTGGTAGATGCGCCAAAGCGGTGTCACTGGAAAGCGTAGTGTGCTCTAAATTATGAGCAGGCCTGAAAATGGAAAATGTTCTTAAAGAGGTAGTGGTTTCCATTGGAAGGTTTAGAGTTTTTGTTTGTTTTGTTTTATGGTTCTTAAATGGGAATACATTTTGGATAACCTTTTGCTCAAAAAATATGTGTGATTGATTTATTATAGGAAGAAGACCTTCGTCAGATCTTCATGTTAACGGTTGAAGTTCTTCAGGAATTCAGCAGGCGCGAAAACCTCAGTGCTCAAATGTCTTCGGTGTTTCAGCGCTACCTGGCACTTGCCAATCAGGTCTTGAGCTGGAACTTTCTTCCTCCAAATTATATCCTTTTAACACCTGAATAGTTTATTTGTGCTGATTTTCATAGATTACTTAATTATGGCTAAAACATTTTATCTCTGCAGGTTTGGAAAGCATGTTGTTGAAAGAAAATATGCTTTTTTAAGAAATGAAATATAAGTTTTTTCATTTTATAATATGCAATGTAATGGACACCTTCCAAGATTTAAAATTTCATTTACAACTTTATAGAAAAGAATTCGGTAAACGGAAGCACTTAGTGGATAGCAGGGTCATTGCTAACTAAGGAATAGCAGTGTTTCTTAGGAGGGAAGTGCATTTTTATCAGGAAACTGAATCATTTTCTCTGTGTAACATGTAATTACATTGGATTTTTTTTTGGCTAATCCTAAGACTAATTTGGCATGCTCTAATTTGATTTTTATGGAAGGAGATATTTTTCAAGTGTGGATAACAAGGCAAGTAATATGCTTATTCTTTGAGGACCTTTTAAAATATAAAAATATAAGACTTTCATTTCTAGCTAATTATTAGTAATACAGAATAAGTTTAAGTGAGTTATATTGTAGGTACATATATCTGCTTCTTAAAAAATCAGTTATTGAAGTAGAGAAATTTATATTTTATAAAGCAGGTTCTTAGTTTAAGGTTTGTGATTTGCTTTTTAGAACATTTGCTGCCTGTTGATAGATTGAAAGCAATACTATCTAGTGTCTCTTAATTTTTTCATAGTTGAATCAGACAAATCAAGGTTTAGTTCTTAGCTGATGTTAGGCAAATTACTTAAAGTCTCTGAGTCTCAGTTATTCCAAATGTAAAATGGGGATATGGATTGTTGAGTGAATCAAATGTAGTAATACATTTAAAACACTCAGGAGTTAGCTACTGTTTATTGAGCTTTTAATAGTTTCTTTGAATAAAGAAGTTCATCAGCTAGCTGTCTGTGTTATGCTCTTTTTTTCTTGATCTGATATATGGGAAATTTAATCTGTTGTACGTGTCTTTGATCAGTCTCTTCCTGGGGACCTGGGTGGGTGGGGAGAGGGAATCTATTTGGGAGAAAAAAGACGATAAGCAAACAGGAAATACATGTTCAGCTGTATCGGAGATTTAGGATGAGCCTCCTCCTTACTCCAGCAGAGCCAAGCGCTGCTACGCTCGTACGTAGAGATCACCAAAGGCTTTGGCTGGTCAGGTAGGGTGAGTACAGTTTTTCCTTCTCTTTTCAAGTTAATACATTCATGTAGTGGAAAACTGACTCTGAAGTGCTGTGTAGGGTGTGAGCCTGTGCTTTGAGCTAGACCCTCGTTCGCCAGTGGTCTTGCCCCAAGGTGGCCATGGTGAGCTGCTGCTTCATGGGGCAGGGCTCACGGTGGCGGTCCGTACTTTCCCTTTTCCCCTTGCTCTGTAATCATTTTTCTACTAGTAATTTATTTTGTGTCTTCAATATATTCTTTTTGGGGTTCTTAAAAGGCACATATTTTCTTCTTAAGTTTGCTTTTTTAAAAAAATTCTCTCTTTGAGTGTTGGAATATAATTTTTGCTCCAGTTTTTGTTAGTAAGAAAAGGAAAGATGTTGAAAAACTTAGAGACAGATTTAAAAAGTAACAGGCCATATGGAGCTATCAAAACATTAATTATATATGTAGGGAAAAATCAACAAAAGTTACACTGCATATATTGGAGCCAATTTTAAAGTCTCTGCTTTATGGGGAAATGTAGTTGGCTGAAGAGTGACTTTCGTAAAGGGAAACAGTGCTCTGGGAGTTTGGAAACAAAGTTTGTCTAAAGATACACACACATAAAATATTTTTATAAAGTATTTAGATAAAGCTTTGGAAAACCTGTCATCTGAAAATAATAACCACAGCTACAGTGTTCCCAAAGGAAACCATTCCTTGTTTACAGAAAAGTAAACCTTGATCTTGACCTTTGGATGTTCTACTTCATGACTTATAAATGAATTCTTACATGAGCGTAGTTTGCAGGCCACCGATTCCTTCCTTTAAATGGGTTCGCTCTCAGTGTGGGAGAAAGAGCGTGGCAGTGGAGTTAAAGTAAGCTACGTTCTCAGTGCTAATTAAAGGGAATCCGTTTCATGGAATCCAGTTCTGATATAATTTCTGAACTTCAGGAATTCTTTGGTGATCTATTCAATCAGTAGGGAGGGAACTGGATAATTATTTAGCTTTGTACCTTGAAGAGAGCCTATAGAACAAGTTTAACTTAGTATAAAGTGGATGGCTTAAACATTTTTTTTCCTTTTTAATGTTTAATTTTGAGAGAGACAGAGACAGAGTGTGAGCACAGAAGGGGCAGGGAAGAGAGGGAGACAGAGAATCCGAAGCAGGCTCCAGGCTCCAAGCTGTCGGCACAGAGCCTGATGAGGCTCAAACTCATGGACCATGAGATCATGACCTGGGCTGAAGTCAAATGCTCAACAGACTGAGCCACCCAGGTGCCCCTGTATCAAATATATTTGATTATTTAGAATGGTATCATGTTAAATGAGGCTGCATTAAATTGTCAATGTCAGTCTTTATAATTTTTTATAATTTGCTTTCTCTTTTGCATCTTTTTATTTTGATGTAATTCTAAACATTTGGAGATAACTACGAGAGTAATTCAAAGAATTGCTGTATGCCTTACTACCAAGATTCGAAAACATTTTGTCCCTTTCCTTATCTCTCTTTCTATGTCTACGTAATTTTTTGTTGTAAAAATAAGCCACATTTTTAATTTATCGACTGATCAACTGATTGACAATTGGGGAGTTTCAACTTTTTGGTTAGTATGAATAATGCTGCTGCTGTGAGCATTCATTATAAGTTTATGTTTGGACTTGCATTTTCATTTCTGTGAGATATACCTCGGAGTAGAATTGTTGGGTCATATGGAAACTCTGTGTTTAACCTGCTGAGAAATTGCCAGGCTGTTTTCTAGAGTAGCTGTACCATTTTACATTCCCACCTTCATTATATGAGGAATCCAGTTTCTCCACATCCTGGCTAACCCTTCATAATCTGTGTGTTTATAGCCATCCTGTTTCATATGAAGCAGTATCTCATTGTGATTTTGATTTGCTTTACCCTGATGGTTAGTGGTTATAGGCCACTGTTTATCTTCTTTGGAAAAATGCCTATTCAGATCCTTTGTATTTTAATTGGTGTATTTGTCTGCTTAAAATTGGGTTGTAATAGTTCTTTATGTATTCTAGATGGAAGTCTTTTAACAGATACATGATTTTCAAATATTTCCTCCATTTCTGTGAGTCGTATTTTACTTTTTTATGTTGTCCTTTGAAAAACAGAAAATTTGCATTTTGATGGTGTCCAGTTTATTTTTTCATTTGTTGTCATATCTCAGAAATCATTACCTGATCAAGGTCATGAAGATTTGTGCCTGTGTTTTCTTCTAAGACTGGCTTCTTACATATAAGCTCTTACGTTCAAGACTTTGATCCATTTTGAGTTAACGTGTCATATGTGATGTGATACAGTGGTCCACCCAGCTTTACTCTTTTGCATGTGGATATCCAGGTATCCCAACCCGATGTTTTGACTGTTGATTAGAAAGGTAGAAGAGGCTGGAGAAGTAGGAAGCACCTGATACAGGTCATGGTGGTGAATGATTGCTGTATCTGTTAATGTGTAACTTACTTGCCCTAACATCAGTTTCTAATTTGGAATGCCAAAAGAATTGATAGAATTATTCATATGAATCACTGATCTGTAAGGTGAGGTGTGCATGTTCAGCCTACCAATTTTGTATTAAGCAGGTATTATATTAAATGTTTGTTGATAAATGAAAGGTCATGCTTGTAAACCAAACTAAAATATATATTAGATTGTTTGGAAGGAGATTGTGAGTAATTGACTGCTGAAACTTTTGGAAATTTCATACAGAGAAGTGTGTAGATTATGACATAAAAATGCTATTGTGAAGCCAGCGGACGTTGACTCAGCAGTGGAGCGAGGATGTGCAGAGAGGCATTAATGAAGAGAACACATGGATTGACTATTGAGATATTTATTACTATTTAAGAGTATTAGTGCTGTCATACTTAATAACTTGCAGTGGTCTTAGATCAAGATTAATGTGCATACAGTGTTTTGCTAAAGAAATCATAACTCTATAAGCAGTGGTTCTCAGTTGGGGTGATTCTGCACACTTGGGATGTTTGGCAATGTCTGGAGACATATTTGGTTTTCCCAGCGAGGGGGGTGCTCCTCAGGCCAGTGGTGAGAGGGGCCAGGGATGTTGTTAGACACCCTGCAGTGCACAGGACAGCTCCCACAAGAAACAGTCACTGGGCTCAAATGTCAGTAGTGGTCCATGCCAACACTTGCACATGAATGCACTTAGCAGTATCATTTATGACGGGCGAAAAGAGGAATGACCCACACAGCCATCAGCTCAAGAGTGGATAGATGTGATTTACACACATAACAATATTATTCATCAATAAAAAGGAAGGCTGGTACGGATATGTGCAGCAACATGGATAAACCTTAGAAACATCATACATGTTAAGTGAAAGAATTCGTTCACAAAGACCGCGTGTTGTGCAGTCCTGCTCGTAGGAAATGTTCAGAGTAGCCAGATCTATGGAGACAGTTGAGTGGTTACCTAGGGCTCGGGTGGTTGGGAGGAAATAGGAGGTGATGGCTTAAGTGCATGGGGCTTCTTTTTGGAGATGAAAATGTTCTAAAATTATATCACGGTGACAGTCACATAACTCGAAAAACCATTGAGTTTGTACAGTCAATGAGTAAATTGTGTAGTATTTGAATTAAGTCTCAGGCTTTAAAAATATGAGTCCTGTCAGGGGTTAGAAATCTTGCCATATAGATCAACTGCCTCTTGTCAGTGTAATATTATGGAGGGAGATTAAGGGTGAGGATAAAGTTTTGGGCGATACTCCGATTATGGAGCCACTGAAGTAAAGGATTGAGAAAGATCATTAAAAGAGAAGCAGAGAAGATCAGTGGTAGAGTCTTGGGCTACAACAGTAGTAAGAA